TTTTTCCCCCCTTAATGGTAATGTTACATTTCCTAAAAGTGCAATCATTTATTACAATATTTATGCTAGGCAGTGCATATCCCCTATAATATGCTGCACCAAACCATATTTGTCTTCTGATTGATTAGTCTAAGAAACTGTTTGACTGTTAGTTGACTGTGAATGTTAAGTCGAGGACAGCTCTATTTCTCCCTCTTTTGCTTTGCATGTTAACATTAAATCAGGCATATTCTGTGAGTCTTTTATATCCACGTTACTGCATAGTAACCAATCACCAACTGATTTTTACACCCACTATGAAAATGTCCTAATTTAGGTCAGTTTTCATTGAAGAGAGTGGGTGAGAACTACTGTATGATCTCCATCACGAAGTGGGCTGTAGATTGCTCTCAGCTAACTTGTAGCAACATTTCTTGCTATGGTGTGGTTTGATTGCAATTATCCCTGATTGTCACTCACATGAGCTGTAGACTGGAGGGTTACGGAGCAGGGAATGGCTATAAATGGCGTTTGATTGGAAAGAGCAAGGAAGGGGAGGGAAAAAGGGAGGGAGAGGGAGAGAGAGAGAGTACTGTAAACCTGGAAATGCTGACCTTTCTTTTATGTTTGTCTTTGCTGAATGATTTGTATTTGCTTCCTGGCTTGTGATTTATCTTTCTTTTTTCCTTTCTTCCAACAGTATATCATAAAACTGGATATTAAAAATAGTTCAGGTCAGTAAGAGGAATTTTTGTTATGGCACTGAACCTCACACGGCTGCCACGTACACACTTCCAGCAACACATGTGGAATGGTAGATAAAAGATGGCGATAAGAAAAGGACACTGGTCTTTCCAGACATGTGTGCACCCATGATAACATTCCTCCTTGCTTTGAGCACCTTGAGCCTTCACAGGGCTGATTCCACACTTGTGGTATGGCAGATATGTTGGAGTCGAGGAAAATGGGGTTGTGGTTGAGGAAGGCATTTCCCTTACATTACACTGAGGGTCAGTCACACGGCACACACACACACACACACACACACACACACATACACGTACACACACAGACAAAAAGACTCACTGCATTCTTCTGCCTCAACCAACCAAACAGCTGTCAGACACTACGTCAGCTCCCAAAGTATTCTGTCTATGTGTGTGCGTGTGTGTTCCTGTGAGTGTGATTGTCTGTCATATTTATGATAAATGATGAACTGTGTACTACAGGGCGTGTAATTGGTCTTAGCAAGTGGAAAGAGAAACTAAATGCTTAAGGATTTGAGATGTTCCCACACAGCTCTCCATAAAGCTTAATTTAGAAAAAAGCTGAATTATTAATGAATACATAAATCTTAAGCGTCAAGCCTTTTGATTTTAAAGTCATTCATTCATTGTCATATTTCTGCTCTCCTTTTCCATTTCCTAACCTCTGACCTTACATTCATCCAGTTCGACTTCGGCATTCAACTCTGTATTTAATGCAACCTTCAGAGGCATTGTTGGATACATTGTTTGCTGATGTTAGCCTTTGAACCCAGTACTTGTGGTTCCACAGTCTACAGCCATTTTTTTTTTAAAAAGACTGCCCTGTTAGGCGAAACGTGTACAGTAGGCAAAGGATTTGGCAAAAGCCAATGGCGAATGTGGGTGGACAACATTTTTGTTTTTTTGACTCTACTTGGCCCGAAGAGAGAATAGGAAGAATGCAAGCACTTAAAACAGATGAAGTGATGGAGAGTGAGTGAGTGAGTGGACAAAAGTATTCACGGTGTAATCACGCCAGCATGTAGTCAAGTACAGAGAAACACTCACACAGAGAACACTTGTTAGACATGTTGAATATCATCGCCCTTTTGATCTAGATCACCGCACACACACATACACACACACACACACACACCCATTCACCTCACTGTGACAGAATACAACAGCACGACATGCACACAAAAGACAGTGCTTTTGTAATTTTTCAAGCGTGTAAACCACTCATTCAGTCAGTTGAACACTGGGTCCAAGATCCCCACCCTGAGCAAGACACCAAACCCTCACCTGTTAAAGGTCCAGTGTGTAGGATTTGGTGGCATCTAGCTGTGTCGTTGCAGATCACACCTCCCCTACTTCACCCTCACCTTCCAAGCGAGAAGGAGAAATTAAGGTGGCTGCAAAAAAGGCAAGCGCCCCTGTCTGAAGCTAGCGACCCGCTGCGTCTGTAGATAAAAACGGCTCACGTAGACGCATGAAACGCCTGTGTGTTTGACTGAGTGAGGTAGGCTCACAGCATGCGCTCAAGTACTGCGGTGTTAAATATGCTCTCCTTTATTTGCTTGGAGGTTGAATGTACTTACTGTAAGTCACTTTGGATGAAGACTCCTGCTACATGAATGTAATGCAATGTAGTGTAGATACAAAATAGGGAGAAATCCTCGCAAGCACACTGAATTTGAGCACACACATACACACACGCGGTTTGCAGGTTGCAGGTGCTGGTTGCTCCACTGTGCTTTGCAATTCAATCAGCCATTCACATAATGTGGTTTACACTAATTTAGCCTGCCTGATTTCTGAATTGGACATGATGGATTGAAGTGTCGTTAGTTAGTTAGTGAGTTAGTTAGTTAGTTAGTACAAGTACTAGCACTATCTTTAAAACATTATTGTCATGATAGCTTTTGTCTTTTCATTATATTTTAAAACAGCTGGAGGCCAGGTTGCATAAGACCCGCCCCATCCTGGTAGTCTGCAGGCTCCCTCTCCCCTGGCACCACCGTGTGTTTTTAAGTTTAGTTCAATCCTGGCAGTGTGTTTCCCTGCCAGTGTCATTTGTTACAATGTTGCATTTGTTAACAGAATTACCTCTTTTTGCCCTTATTTGCTGTGGTCTCAGACCGTGCCATAACAGGTGGTATATTTAAAATTGACATCTTTATACACTAGCAGGTATCATAGTATTTTCCCTAAAAGTTGGTAGAGTTTTGGAATGAAACCCTCACTCTCAGTCCTCCTTTGCCCTCCCTCTCACTATCCTCCTCCTCCCTTTTCCGCTGACATTTTTCTGCTTTCCATACTCCCTGCAGTGCCTAGCTGGCTGTGCCAGTGTTGTCCTCCCAGTGAGTTTCTATCTGCCTCTTCCCCGCCACCATCTGTTTCTCTCTTTGTCTCTCTCTCTCTCTCTCTCTCTGCCTTTCTATCACCTCTCTCTCGTCTCTCTCTATCTCTCTCTCTCTCTGTCTGCTTTACCTTATCCTCCTTTCTATTCTCTCCATCTGTCTTCCTTCCTGTCGCCTCTGGATCTCTGCTACTTTTTCTTTCTCCTTTAAACTTTTGCTGTTTCTCACTCTTTGTTGCTGTCTCCTCTTCTCTTACCTCCATCCCTCTTTCTCCCTTTTCTCTTTAATACCATATGATGGATTCCTCTGCCAGTTGCTGTCTGCTAATCCTTGGCCTCAGTACACATCTATTTTTTCTTCCTCTGTTTCTGCCTTACATACACACATTACTCATTACAACATCTTCAGTGCACACAAACCCCCACTGCTTTCTGTGTGAAGGCAGTTTAATGTGTGTGTGCTTACATGCTTAACTTAAGCCTGACACGTTACTATAGCACACTGTGGAAGCCTATTGATTTTCTCCATGTCTGCCATACCAGCGTTCAAACTGTTTCTTTCTCGCATTATGCATCAGCCTCACTGTACCGTTATTGTATCTCATTTCCATCGCAGCTCTCAATTCCCTGTAATTCCCTGTAGAATAGAGTCACCCTGCATAACATAGAAAGTGTGCATACAATGATGTATTTTACTACTATTTTAAGTACTAATGTAACACACAGCCACATACTGTAATTCCCTTCTCTTTCTTCTTTAGGCTGCAAGATTTCCCACAGCTAGACAGTGACACACTCTCACAAACACACTCCCACCCACCTCTTTCCTTGTCTTCAGACATGTAAGAAGTGGGTCAGTAGGATGTTTGACGTCCCACACACCTTCACACACACACCTCCACACACACACACACACACACACCCACACAGAAACTGCAGCTGACTAACAGCAGGGAACATGTCTCTCGTATCCCCGTAACATCCCCATCATTCCACCACAACCTGCCTAATTAATCCCACAGTGTGTGCACACTGTCGACAATCAGCCAGTCTGTCTCTTATGCCGGTGTGTGGGTGTATGCATAAGTCAACTTGTTGCACATTACATGTCTTTAAAGATGCTCTTGAGTCTTTTTTTTCTTTTTCCGTGAATGTGACAGGTCCTTGTTTATAATTATAACCTGTGTTTGCATTGCAGTTTTTAAGATAATAAAACACTTTGCAGACAGTAGCAAACAAAAGCTACAGAATTAAAAGATCCTCAGTGAAAATGTCAAACAAGGGCAGGAGTTTAAAGGGTTTAAATGAGAACCTTCAACAGGAGGAAGGCAGAAGTGCTCAAAAGCCAGCTAAAAATACTGTATATAAACTGTAGTCTTTCACTAGATGTTTGAAAATGTTTGTCCTTGTGCACCTAAGCTGCGACCAATTTCATTTAACAGTGATCGTTTTTCGTATGAATTGGTTTATTTCTTTGTGCAGTAAGGTCTGCTCGTGTTTTCTCCTCATGTCAATCACTTCACTAACTCAAATGCACCATCATCATCATCATCATCAGTAACCATCGCCTGTAGTGCTTTTGTTGTGCTGTCAGGCTGTTGGGATGTGAAAGGCAAATGTTAGGCATGTTGCCTGTTCGCAGCCACCACTCTACTTGAAGCGAGATGTGAGAATCCCATATTATTGTTTATGCTTATGGATCAAAGTTACATGTGTTGCTCTGTTAGATAAACCTTGTCATGCGTCCTGAGTTGCGTATCCAAGTACGTTCTGCCGTGTGTAGTTCCTGCTGAACACAGTGTGTGGTGACATGACAGTGTGTGTTATAATGTACGTACATTCAGCAATTGGAGGGAAGAGGAAAAAGTCATTTGCCTAATTTAATTTCAACTTCTGTTGTTTTCATCCACCAGGGAGTGCTGAGTCCCTGAGTCAACACACTGCATTCTGGGATAGTCTGGAACCCTCTCCATGGGCTGTACCACCTGTTGACAAACCAGGGGGGTCTGGAGGAGCTGTGTTGAATGAGGTGAGATTGTCCCTGTCGCTGTGCTGTACCCACATCATGGTTTTTCAGTTGAATAAATTCACTAGTTTTTTTGCTATGTAAGTTATTTCTGTTAATAAAAGGAGATTCCATGTCTTCTAATTGAGGTTGTGCTTGATAGGCTAAAAGACACTGGTTCACTGCTTCCAACCTAAAAACAGCTATTCTTACTGTCATGTGTAATTTGATGTTATTAGTTCTGACATCAAGGACTTTTCAGGCCTGTGTTTCCTCCGTAGCCAAGAGCCTTGTTTTGCTGATAAACCTGTCACCCTGGTCACAGCACAGATGCATGTTAAGCAAAGTGCATTTGATTTTAATGTGAGTAAAGTGGCAGCTCATCACATGCACAGCTCGCAGTGAATGGACCATAGTTTTTCCTCCCTTTGCTTTGAGCCACAGCGTATTGTACTGTAAATGTATGGCTTGGTTCCCGCTCTGTCATGAAATGTAATGAGTCTAGTAATGAGTGTATGGTAGATGACTTCCTCTGTATAAAGGTTAAAGAACAGTCAGAAAGATAAGAAGGCATCTTACAGTTACTGAAACTAAGTTTGTTTTAGGGGGAAGGGAAAGCTAGCTTGCCCAGTGACAGTGTGTTTGTTTATGAAGCTGCATCTGAGCTCTTTGGAGCAGCAATATATTTTTATGCATAACACCGTCAGGAACCAGTTAGTGAGGGGTCTTCCTGCGAGAATGGAGGCCTTATTGGCAGTGCAGAGAGTGCGAAAAAACACCCTATAAATAATAGGTCTCTGTGATCCCTGAGGAGAGGGGAATGTATTGTTGTTCGCTTTGTTTATGCTTATTACTTACGTTTGTGTTTGGGTATTTAATCGTTCATTGATGAATTGCAATATAAACAAATCTACCGTTCTTTAGCGAACCACAAGCTACGACTGCTTTGATTTTTCTCTGAAGTACTCACAGCACAAATGCGGTCCTTTTTTTTTGTGTGGTAATATTGATCCCCAGAGGACAAATTCTCTTTTTGCTTTCTCCTCCTTCCACAAGGAAGTAAGATCGCGGGGTCGGCTGCAGAGTAGCACCTTTGGAGCTGCTGGTGATTATCTCGCTCGCAGACATTTGAGCAGAGCAAATGCCTTCAGGTCAAGGATTTGAACTCAGGCCTTCTGGTTGATGGATAGTCTCTCTACTCACTATAAGGCATTTTTCCAGTGAGTCAAAGAAAATCAATATGAACAAACATTTAAGCAAAGTTTTGCAAGTTCTTTCCCCCAGATGAGTGTTATTTTCCACTCGCCTCTTTCCCCTGAGGGATACTCGGCATGTCTGTTTACTGCAGTCGTGAGCAATAAACAATGGACATGAGTGACTTTAATAACAAACACTGAGCGACCTCCGCCAGGAGTCTGCACGTAGAGCGGTAGATTAACGTTTGGTTTTACTAGAGTGTCAGGACACTAATTGGCAGGTTAAGTCTCAAGGCAGCACTGATCTGTCCAGCTATGAGCTAATAATATGCATCACAGACTAATTAAAAACATTTCATTGTTGCACAGCAAAGGCATCAACAGTGTAGACATTAAAAAGTAGACATTAAACATTGTGGATGAGGTTGCAGTGTTTCCTACACAGTATTTCCATGCTTTTGAAGTAGAAACCATGTTGCTGCCAGTTGTTCTTGATGCCTCCACATTTGGTGCCTCGCAATGGGTGAAGTGCACTCTGGTCTTCGTCTTAAACAGACATGCTTGTTTAAGTGTACACACACACACACACACACACACAGACATACACACATTTTCACAGAGAGAGCACTCTGATTTACCCCACAGGGAGCAGACAGTTTGGAGAGAGCTGCAGTTTCCCTGCTGCAATCTCTGTCTGTATGTTGTGTGCCACTCTCTTTCTCTCTCTCTCTC